CGAACCTCTAGAAATTCTAATGGCCCCACCTGGGCCACCTTTAAAAGACTTCGATCCATCAATCTGGGATCAAGAATTGAATATTGAAAATCCGGCCATGTTACTTACTCAAGAGGCGGGCTCTCTAAAAGTTATTAATGACATGAGCACAACTTCGATAACCAGAGCACCACCATGTTAAGAGGATGCATCCCGCGAAGAACAAGTTCCCAACGGAACAGAAATCCCTGCAAGGGCAACCCCATTCTTTTGCAGCTCTCTAGGGTTTTTAATCTATATCCCCCGTCAAATGACAATGAAAAGAGGTTTTATAGGGGTCAAAATCTGCTGGAGAGGATATACTCACATAACAAATGCATCCCATCCAAAAAAAGGCATTTTGAGGGTCACGGATCTAGGCGGCACTGGTCGTGTCGCCTGGGCGGCACGCTTTGTGTCTCCTGGGGCGATGGCCCAGCTTAGTATCATTCTCGACCCTTTCTCTTTCTTCATTTTCTTACTGGTTTATTTTATTTTGATTAATTTGCTTTAAAAATCACATTTTGATATCTTGGATCATGTTGGCCCTACCACAGATCTGAGAGTAGATCTGCTCATTTCTGGGTAGATCTGGTCTCAGATCTGAATTCGATTTGTCCCACATTCTCTACCATTTCTTCTACTATTTCATTTTCATCATTTTAAGGTGAAAGATCAGAGAGATCATCGTTTGAAGATCTCTCTGATTTTGCACTGTAAACAGTTTGGTGCCCACGCGTGCTTGTATACAATTTCTTTTCATTGGTAAAAAAAAAATATTTGCAAATATTTTGCTCTTCCATGTTGGTCCTTCATTTTGTTAGACTCTGTAGCCCACTTTGCTTTGGGATGACTATCCCTCATTTTTTTGTAAACAGTGTTCAGTCAACTGTGAATTGTTATTGTAACTCTCTTATTGATATTATTAATGTAATACAATCATCTTATTTCGGGAAAACAGTGTTCAGGATATGATCTCTCTCCCCCTCACACACACATCCTTTGATAGTAATTCTAAAAATGTAGTCATGATGTTTAGCTTCTGCAGATTTTTTGTTGCTATTGGTTTTGCTTAAGAGGGCTGAGTAATGTGTAGATATAGAATTATGCTAGCTGCTGGTGATGGTGTCTACAACTTTCCCTAAATTCACTTTCACCCCTTTCTATAACTTCTTGTTATTATAAAAACCTTATTAAAATCTCACCTTCTCATCATTATATTTTTACTCCATTAAAGGACAATAATATTGTTTAATCCAATTGGGAGTCTGAAATTGTAGGAAGAAGAAAATAAGGAGCATGACAATAAGAAAATCATGTCTCTTATTTCACTCTTTATTAGATATTACGAGCGGTTACCGCATAAAAGAATTAAATGCCCTCAAATTAAAATGGAAAATAAAAAATTGGAAAATAGGTGAATATAATCAAAACATTTCCCCTCAAGTTGAGAATGTTGCATGAAAAGCTTACAGGTCCAACTCCAAATGTCTGCATTCAGTTGTTGCTTTGGTGAATATATATGGTATCTTGTGAGAACAAACAAATAGCATAGAGATATCTTAAGATATGGCCTTTTTTTTTTTTTGGACAAAATGATAATCAATCCCTGTGTTTTGTGTTCAAAAGCACGCTGGGTTGTTCTTCTGTTTCTTTCTTCTTTTTTTTCAACTATTTACGCTCAGATTAGAGGCATTTTGTTCATTTTTCAATCTTTTATTAGAACTGTATGAAGGTTTTTTGGATTAAATCTCCAAATCAAATAAGTTAGAGGTAGAAATTTTGAATTTTTTCCTCTTTGTTGGCCATTATTTGTACCTATTTGTTTTCAACCATTTTCTACTAGATTAGAGGCATTTTGTTTGTTTTTCAATCCTCTATCAGATTTATGCGAAGATTTTAGGATCTAAACTCCAAACCAAAGAAATTAGATGTTTTCCCCTCTTTCTAATTATTGATCTGCCATTTTTTGTATTTCTCCAAACATTTTCTGTGAAATCAGAGGCGTTTTCTTTTTCGTTTTCAATTCTATATCCATGCCTCAAAATCGAAGAAATCAGAGGCATAAATTTCAGCACAATTTGCCTCTTTTTTGATATCCAATTAACCGTATTTCGTATATATCTCTAGGTTTTCGTTAATTTCCAAGCAAATAGAAATATTTTATTTATTTCTCAACCTCTTTCAGATATTGCTAAAATAATAAATGATTACACTTCTATATTTTGGTAGATGGTAAAAGTTACAATAAAACGTAGACCATTTTGATTCTTAAAATTTCTTATGGAAAAATTTCTTACAAATAGAAATATGATTTTAAAATTTCTTTATGGAAAAAAGCTGTGTTTAAAAGTCGGTGATTCGGATCGAGAATCGACTTGGCCGATAAGTCGGTGATTCGGATTGAGAAAGTTGGTGATTCGTATCGACAATCGACTTGGCCAATTGGGATCCTGCTAAATATCATGATCCCGCTGATTCTTCCTTTGAACCGGTTGGTTCTGGCCAGTTCTTAATATCCAGCTGATTCCCCTTTTGAATCGGCTGGTTCTCACCGATTCTTAATAGAGAAACAATGATTCGGATCGGGCAAGCTACCCGACACCTACCTTTTGTTGTTTTAAATTTTATTTTATTTTTAAAATTTTTATTATCAGGCCCATACCCTTAACATTTAGGGAGCAGCCTTTAACTTATTTATCTTTTAGATAGTTTTTTTTTAATCTTTCATTTAAATTTGTATTTTATAATTTCTTATTAAAGGAGGGTTGGCCGACCCCTTGACTTGGATGCGTGACAACCATTGTTCGTAGAGGGTTGGCCGACCCCTTGACTATGATGCGTGACAACCATTGGATGCGTGACTACCATTGTTTGCAAAATCGCCCGATCTAACTACTAACCGCCTGGTTAGATCGGCCGGTTCCGGTTTTGGGTGATCAACCGGTATTAAAAAAAAGAATTGAAAAAAATATATATAAATTATCAAAAATAAGGAATTTGATTTGTAATGCATTTTAAATATTCTTTACATTATGGTAAAGATTAAAAATTATTTTGGTCATTAATACTTACTTTTATATTTTCCCTCTTTTTTAAAAAAAATTAAAAATAGCCATTGGAAAATATAAAATAGGTTAAAATCCGTTTTTTAACATTAATTTTCAACTTCATTTGAATGTGTTTTCTTTTAATCATTCTTTATATGATTTTCATATTTTAGTAGATTTTTTTTGTTTTTTTTTTTAAATACTTTTTTTACCACTATACTTTTCACATTTTAGTAGATTTTTTTTGTTTTTTAATTTATTTTTTTTAAATACTTTTTTGACCACCCAGGTCTTGCCTGATAAGCCTATGTCCGGTTAACCATTTCGGTTCGATTTTGTGAACACCGATGACAACTGACACAACACCTTAATTCCCCCTTGGGCTTTTCTTATAGCCCTGTGCCCCCACATCCTTGCTCTACCCCCACCCCCTGATGTGGGATAATGATATGGTTTATAACTTGATCTTTTAAGGTGTGGATCACATCTTCTATTGACATTTGATTTGCGTGAAAATATTTTTCTAGCAATATTTTCATGTAAAAAGAGGAAAAATTACAAAACCCCCCTCAAGTTTACTATCCATGCAACTTACCACCCAGCTAACCATTCATCTCATTTTTTTTCCCACAATCACCTTTCCTCACAAAAAACCCCAAGGTAAAAAGTTGCTATTTTTTGGACGGAAATACCCTTCCTTACGAAAAAAAAGGAGTCAATTGACGGTCCCAAGTAGCGTATTACCGGAGCGACCAATTTAACCGTCGGAGCCATATGGGTCCAGAAGGTGTACTGCAGGAGCACGTATTTGTACTGTCGAAGTGCTTGTCTTTATTGTCGGAGCGACCTATTAAATAGCCGAAGCAATGTGACACCAGAAGGTGTACTATCAGAGCACGTATTTGTACTGTCGGAGCGTGTGTCCTCATTGCCGAAGTGACCTATTCAACCGTCAGAGCGCTATGGGTCCAGAAGGTGTACTGTCGGAGCGAGTCATTGCATTGCCGAAGCGCCTGTCTTCATTGCCGGAGCATTTAAATGGATTACCGGAGCGCATGGGGAGAGAGTCATGGGTAAAAGCCACGAGGAGAGATAGGGGGTAGTTTAGTCTTTTTTTTCTTTTGTTTTAGATTAGAGGGGTTTTTGCGAGAAAAGATGGTTGTGGGGAAAAAAGTGAGAGGAAATGTTAGTTGGGGGTAAGTTGCATAGATAGTATACTTGAGGGGGGGTTTGTAATTTTCCTGTAAAAAAATCCATTATGGGGTTAGATGTGGAAATGTTTTCATCCCAACTAGCTATCAATTGATGTGAAAAGATGCATTGGGACTAATTGGAGTAAAAGTATTCCCGTACCTAAATGTATGAAAGAATTCTTTCACGTAAAAATATTTCTCAAAAAGAGTGGAACTAATCAAAGGGCTTCTAACTTTTGATTTTTTAAAATAAAATCATATTGATTTTTAAAATTACCGTGGAACAAAGCTCCTCTCTCTCTTCATAAAAATTGTTGGCGATCCTTTTGTTATGAAGCATTATCAAGATTATCGAGCACATAGAAATAGACTCTATTTCGATCGAACATAACTAAATAAATAAATAAATTTGGAAAGAAATGTTATTGGGCAATTGATTTAGGTGACTATAACTGCATCTCAAAATTCATAATTTTTACAATATTTGAAGTTGGTGGTTAAAAATGAATAAAACATATGTATTTTGGGTTAGAGAGATTCATTACTGGAGTGAGTTGAATTTTAAGCTTCATTTTGACTAATGTAGGTTCTCTGTGTTTATATATTCTCAATAAAATAATAAAAAACTACAACACAATATAATCTCTTTTTTTGGAAACTTAAAAACCTAGATTTTTAATAAATTTTAGTGATTTTTTGAATTTTTTTACACTAAATCTGGAAGCTACAGTTAATTTCACAGTTGAGAGTGGGTTTCACAAAAGACAGAAAGTTCAATCTCCACAGTGGAAAGAGGATTTTCTCAGAGAGAGAGGGTTTTACAAGAGAGAGTTCATCAATCTCCACAGTGGAAAGAGAGTTTTCAAAGAGAGAGAGAGAGAGAGAGTTGAAGATGGCGCTGTGGATGGAGGAGCACTCCCAACCCATGACGGAGGCAGAACGAGCAGACCTCGACGCCATTATTGCTCTGAAGGAGGCCGCTGCCCTCGAACTCAAGGTCCCTCTCTCTCTCTCTCTCTCTCTCTGTAAATATATACTGATACACCATTACTTGTATGTTTACTCTCTTTCTCATTCTCTTTTGTTCGTTCCAACTTTAGGCTCTCTTTCTTCCCTATGTGCTCATCATATGCTATTGCTTGTCCATTTCTCTCTCTCTTTCTCCTGAACGTTGGGATGTTGGGTTCTTTTCTCTTAGTTTCCCAAATTACTTAGTTTTTCCCTCCATTCTGAATTTCGCAATTGACATCTCTAAACTTTTTTTTGAATGTTAATTGATATCTCTGAACTTATTAGTTCTTTGTCACCAATAACGCGTGCATATTTGATCAGAATAATGATACATTTTGATTTGAATACCCTTTAACTAGGAGGGTCCCATTGTTGTGGCTGCTTGTTTTGTTAATCTTATTCCTCTTGTTTTCTCTATATTCTATGGGTTGCCTGTACAAATTTACTGCGAAGCTCAATTAATTATTGCAAATGGGTGAGGTGTTATTGGTTTTGGTGGATCCGAAACTTTGGGTTTACTGGTTTTAGTGTATCCCAAAATTTTACTGGTGTTACTGGTTTTGGGTATCATTCCTCTTTTGCTCTCCTCCTCTCGCCTCTGGCCTCTCCCCTTAACCCTTTCTTTTTTCCCCTCCTCTCTAGTTCTTCTTTACTATCTACCTTTATCTCTTCTTCGCCCCGGCTTGCACTTGGGCTTTATGTTCCGCCGGATGGGGCTCTTTCCACTCCCCCGAAGGCGCTCTCTAGCAGCATCCCCTTTCCTATTTTCCCAGTCATGGCCCGTTTTGTTTTAAGGATATTTTGTTTATGTAATTCGTTATTTTCGTTCCCCTACCTCTTCTGTACTCTGAGCACCCACTTGTGAGCTGCCTACACCATATACAATGGTTCTTTTTGTGCTTTTATTCTATTTTAATATAAAGTTAGCTTTTCTCCATTAAAAAAAAGTACTTGATGTAGGAAAAAGAGGGAGGAAATAGAAAAACCTCCAAAAATTTGTAATTGATGTAGGAAAAGCAACAAAACAAAAAAGCTATAAAACAAAGAGAGACGAGAGCAATACCCTCTCAATGCTGGGATCCTTAATCTGGTTTGACCCTCTCTCTAGATCCTTAGTGAAATCCACCCCAAGTTTGGCCCTCTATCTAGGCATCCAGGGGAACCCACCATAAAAATTATATTCCCAGAAGACCCAGAAAAGTTTAGTTCACATTCTTTACATATACTTACAAGCAAAACAATTCTAAGAACAAAATTGACTGCCAAGAAACCTAAACTCTAAGTTATTGACTTACCATTTTACCTAGATAATCTCCAAGGTTTCAAAAAACGCTAGGCGGCCCCTAGGCGGCCTGGCGCCCAGCACTTAGGGAGGTGCCCAGAACCTCGGGCGCCCTGCGGTGCAAATTCTTAGTTTTTTTTTTATATATTTGTTATCCAAATGCACATATATGCATATATTTATGTCAAAATTTGTAATTTATTCCAAAATTTGAACCATCCAAAACATTTAAAAGTCTAATAGGCTACTGTAAGGTCTCCAGCTCTCAAATTCAGAAATTCTCCATATTGGCATATTCCATATCCATGAAATAAGCCATAATAACATCCATGATTCCAAGTCTCCAACTCTCCAAGTCATCAATAAACTGACTTCGAAAACTATAGAAAAACCAGTAAACCACACAACGAAATAGTCCAAAAAGGCAAAAAAATTACAAACCACATAACTAAATAAAAATTGTTCAAACTCCAAATGTCTAAATCCCAAACCAAGATGGTGCAATAAAGTATTAAAGTTACTTCAAAAGAAAAGAGTTAACAATCAAGACATCAATAAGAATCAGAATCATCTTCATTGCCTTCATCTGCATCAGAATTGAGGCCGTCATCATCAGAATCATCACCCTCTTCAACATATTCCTCTTCTTCCAGAGATTCTTCTGAATCTGCCTCCTCTTCCTCTATCTCCCTCCATGAAGTACCAACAGAAGAAGTTGCTCGAGTGGCCCTTCTAGGATCAGAAGCTTGCCCTGAAGCCTCCTCGACCATTTCCCATGTCCCTCCCCAGGGAAGACCTCCTCAGTACTAGGGTCACTAACTAGCCAATCTAAAGCATTCTCCATGTCTTTTGAAGAGATAGGGTCCTTCTTTGGCTGATTTTTCTTCTCCTTGAGCCTTTGATTCTTTCTAACGAAAACCAAATCATTGAGCTTCCTTTGCTCAAGCCTGTTTCTTCTCTTTGTATGCACCTACAAGGAAAAATAATGCATAAGTAACTACTATAGGTCTATGATCTTCTTACCTTTTATGAATCTATATTACAAAATGAATATGAACTTTTAAACAAAAAAAACATATAAAATTTTATTCTTTTAAAATAGTAAAATACCATCTCAAACGAACTCCAATTGGGCTCACAACCAGAACAGGTAGTTGTCAAACTCAAGATCCTCATAGCCATCTTCTGGAGGTTTGGAGCACTAATTCCATGTTGTCTCCACCATTGGGCTGCAATATGTGGGCAACGTTTATAATTAATTTAGGTATTTAATGTTATCTGAACTTGAAAGAAAATTATAAATTTATATTTTATAAAACAAAAGTACATAAGTCAAAAGAATCTTACCTGGTTCGTCTTTGTTTATTTGCCTTAATCGTATATCTTTCCCAAATGACATCAAAGAACACTTGTACGAAATTAGCTCTTCAATTGATATCTTATCTTGGATATTTAGATCAGGAACTAATTTCTCAAGGCACTCATTAAAACCATCCATAATTACACCTTTTGACTCAATATCTGCATCTGCATAAAAGAGTTTGGGGTTCAAGTGGTACCTCGTTGCATGCAATGGTCTATGGAGCTGCCTATCCCATTTATCATCTATAAACTCCCAAATTGGGTCATACTTCGCTGCATCATCGCCCAAATTCTCTGCAATCTCATTCTTAGCCTTTTCCATTGCATCAATATAAAGTCCATGGAGGGCTTATCAGCATCAACTAAGTGCAAGACCTTCACCAAGGGAAGAAATACTAATATCGCATGCTTCACCCCACGCCAGAAATATTTCGAAAGAATAATATCTTGTGTTTCTTTCCCTTGGCATCTCTAGACCACTTACTTCTACTCCTCTGAAGCAAACATAGACCTTAATGCGATCCTCCGCTTATACATGCTCTGTAGACTAAGGTAGGCAGTGGCAAATCTAGTGACCCCAGGCGTCACTAGCTCTCTCTTTTTTGTAAACTTGCGCATCATGCTAAGGATAAGTATGTGACTGTATATGAAGATTGTAACCTCCTTAGCCTTAAAAATAATTCCTTTAATAGGAGGCAATTCACCAATTGCCTCAAGCATAAGATCTACGCAATGTGCAGCGCAAGTAGTCCAAAATATGCGAGGCTTCTTTGTCGAAGCAAATGACTTGCAGCTAGATTGGGAGCAGCATTATCTGTGACCACTTGAATTACATGTTCCTCCCCAACCTCCTCAATACCCTTATCACTTTACATATCTGTCATCAAAGAAACCCAAATTTTGCCTATCCCTCCTTATGAGTTTTAAGATATTCATTAGTGTACTCGACTTCTTTCTTCAGTAGTGGCTCTCCAATCTCATAAGGAATTGGAGTTTTCAAACCTGGCCAAATTGCCCAATTGCTTCCAACGTTGTATGGAAGCTATTCAAACTAGCAGTGTTAAAGGAAATGCTTGCATGATAAAACCACCGAGCAATATACTGAATCACCTTGGCTCTATCTTCCTTTTTAAACCTATTTTCAATTGTCACTTGTTTTTTCCCCTTTCCCTTGCCTTTCTCAATTACTGTCTAAGGGCTAGGTGTAAAGAAACTATCTATAGGCCCTCTCGTACGAGCCTTCTTAGACCCAAAAGCCCTCTTGGTCTTAGAGCTCTGCCAACCATGGCTACCTCTTCTTCCCCCTCTTCATCATCATCTTCTTCAGTTTCAGTATTATCATAAAAAATATGAATCCTTGACTTTAATTCTGCTATATCTTTTTTTTTTGCAACTTTTTTACTCTTTTCAGCTTCAATATACTCCAAAATTTCTTTCTTTACAAGATCTGGGACTTTCTTACATGGGGCGACATCACCTCTAATACCGGCAAGATGTTTCTTAAATCTATTTATGTCGGCATTAGAAACATGTCCACGAATGTCATTTTTATCCAGGTTAACACAATATTTCCATCCCGGATCTCCACCCCTAGTAGACCCCGCAGAAGACATCTCAAATTGAAAAAATAAATCTCAAATAAAGATTACAGATTGACCTTTTCTACCCAATCTCTGATCTTCGATGTTGGCTATCTCAGCAGAGCAACGAATCAACTTAAAAGTCTTCTAATACCACCAATAGCACCCTAAAAATAATTTCAATCAGAAAAACAAACTTTTTCAATGCACAAGAAGTATTTTCGATTCTCAGCAATTGCTTTAGATTCTCATAAATAAGTTTAAGATTGAGGGTTTTTTTTTTTTTCCAGTTTGGGGTTGAAAATAAACCCCTAAACTTATTTTATACAAACTTGGGCCACCCAGGTCTAGGCATGCGGAAAATTGTTTTTGGGCGCCTAGGCGCCGAGGGGTCCGGTTTTTTAAACATTGAAAATCTCTACAAACACAAATGATTAAACTAACCATTATTCACCCAGAAAATGTCTAAAAACACAAATGATTAAAATAACCGTTATTCAAAAAAATAATTGCCTAATTGTATCATTTTCCCAAGAGAAATTCGACCTTGAGCTTTTTGAACTCATCGTATCCTTCAATGGTCCTTCCAATAATTGGTGGTATGGTTCCACCATTTGTCCTGGCACTGTTTCCATCATAATCTGCCAAATGATGGAAGATTTACCTAGGATCTTCTTATGGAAATATGTGAAATGTACAATGATGCTTAAACTTCGCTCTACATATGTTGTATTTCATTTCTTATGATTGCTTTAGTGGGTGCTTTAGTATCCATTGACGGATTTTATTGTGGCGCTTGGTTGATGTTGGCATCTTCTACATTTGGATTAACCTTTTCATGGTATCCAACGTATTCGAGTTATTTCTCAGTTTGATCTAAAATATTGAGATATGGTGTTGGATCTATTGGATGATGAGTATTCTCTTCTCGATGACCAATATCTTCTAATAGTTGTAACCACTGATTTATTTTGTAGATCTCTCCTTGAAGTTTGCTGACTTGGACTGGAAAGTCTTGTCTCAAACTCTTCATGGCTTGATAGATGCTTTTCCTGATTTGTGATCCACAATCTCCATGATTTGTTGCAGCATATCCTTGCTTGCATGAGAGGCCTTTGGTGGCATCGAGTTGTATGGACGTTTTGAAGCTCTGATACCAAATGATGTAGGAAAAAAGAGGAAAATATGTAAAAATAAAGAAAGATGAGAGAAAATACCCTCTCTTTGAGTTTGTAGGGCTAGACACCCCAAAGATCAAGATATTTGACTCTCTATCTGGGCCTAAGGAAAATCCACCCAAAAAGAGCTTTTTACAAGATCTGCAAAACTCAAATTTGCTCAAAGAAGAAAACTCTAATTACAAACTTGACACCAGGAAACCATTGCTGGAGTTTCTTAACTTCCAATTTTACTCTTAAAATAAATACCTAGAAAACTTATGAAACTAATTTTCTAACTACATCAATATTTTTAGAAAGGGCTGCCAAATTCTTGGTGGGTTTGTCTTGGTTTATGATATGCTTGGCTTGAAAAATACGAGTCAGGGCAGAATTTGGATGTGGAGAGGACTAGATGAAAAAACAGAGACAATGGCTTCAAAACTAAGGCATTTACCACTGGGATATTGAATAGATCAATAAATATGGCGTACTTAATTAGTTGAATGAAAATTTTCATCTTTTAAATAGAACCCTTGGGTTACCCATATCGCTATTATTTGGCATTTGGCGAGTAGGTTATATACTTGAAAGCTAATGATCTCGTTTCTCATAGCTTTCCTAGATTAACATTTTTCATTTGTGGGTCCTCATCCCTGGTAGAGGATATTATTCGGCCTATGATCTTGATTATTGTTGAGGCTTCTATTATTCACCTACTTCTTGCAGTTGCTTCATTACGCTAGGCCTTTAGATTAGATGGATGGTGTCAATTCATCTCTTCATGGCATTATGAAAGACCATAGTGATATGGTCAACTAGAGGGATTATAACCCCCGACCATTATAATTATTGGCTCCAGAAAATTCTTTATGGGCTCAAGTAGATACCAGGGGAAAAGTTCAGCATGGTTTTTCAGTCTCAGGAATATTACAAGAGTTTTGTCTATTCATTTCATTTTCTGTGTGCAGACATCTTTCGATATCACAGCACACTTCTTATATTTTTCCTGATGATTACTTGGAGGTGTTGTAGGCGATGATTTGCTTGACAGATATTGTATTAAGAATTTCCTTCATATACTTTTGAGTTGAAGGATATTTGGAATTTTAAGATATTTTATTGGCCCAAAGATCTCTGGTCCTCAGGTGTTACTTATGATAGTCAATTCTCTTTATAGAAAAAGGAAGAGGAGGTGTGTGGGGGAGGGGAGGGGTTTACTTATAATCTTTCATGACAGATTGTCTACTTCAGACCGCTCTAAGCCAGTGGCTTTTGTGGAATTCATATCAAGATTTGGCATTTCAGTGAATCAAGATTTTTAACTTGCACATCATGTTCAATCTCACTTTGAAGCTGTGAAGCGTGTCATTGGGAATTTAAAAAGCACAATTTAGGTATTAAAAAGGCGCGACATCCCATTTTGGTATTTAAATGGCACAATTTGTCATCAACTTTTCTAATCCTTGTCCACCGCAAGCATTTTCCTTTGTTATTGCTAATGTGATTGGCTCTTATGATAATCACCACTCAACTACAGTATTTTGTGTCTGTGATGGCCAGAATTTGGTCTCATAAGCAGCAAAGAAATCATTATCTGTTCTTTGTGTGCATGTGTGTGTCTTTATGATTAGACTCACGTACGTGCATATCTGTTTACCTTCATATACACTAGGCCATGAACATAGAAATCTATTTTTCAAGAGAGGGTTGGTAGGGTTAAGTGTCGCTTCACCTGCCTGTCTCCACTTGAGGAGGGTTGGATGCCTTGGTGTTCTTCTCTTCTTAATATGAAAGCGCTCTCTCTTTCTCTGCATGAGGAGAACATGCCTTAGCCTCCCGACTCTTCTCTGCAGAGGTGCTGTGGCAAGTTTGGTAGCCCTCTTCTCTGTGTAACTTTGTTTATTATCTGTGGTGTGGATCTTGGATCCATCTACATGAATTGCTTCATATGGAACTAGAGACAATTTTTTTGGTCACCACAATGTACCATCTACATGAATTGCTTCATATGGAACTAGAGACCATTTTTTTGGTCACCACGATGTACCATCTACATGAATTGCTTCATATGGAACTAGAGGCCATCTACATCAATGATTATAAAACAAAAATGTTTGGTTGCCACCTGGGACGTAGGCAGAGGTTTGACATTTTGGGTCATTATGTTAACAATGTTCTCCGCCTTTGGCAAATTGGCAGAGTTCTTAGGACTGATGGTCTATTTACAGTTTTTTGACTCATCTGGTATCTTTGTTTTTTGGGATCCGTGTATTATATATTCATTAAATGTTATATATCAATATAGTTTAGTTTATTAATGATTGAATTCATTCACTAAGTGAAAAAGCAAAAGCAAAAATGAAGTAGGACAAGATAGAATTAAAGAAATGGCCTGAAATTATATAACCCCAATTGCAAACCGAAAACATGTTTGTTGTGGATCTTGTTGGGGAAAAGGTACCAAATGGGCCCCCAAGATTGGGGCATGACATACTCTACTTTGCTAGGTTCTGCTGGATCAGACTACCTATATGTTTCAGTGGAATTGGAATGGAATATTTGTTGCTATTTATTGTCTTTGTCCCATTTTATAATCTCGATAGTGATGTATACAAATTTGTGTATGTAAAATGCAGGAAAAAGGTAACGAGTATGTTAAAATGGGCAAAAAGCATTATCCAGATGCTATTGATAGCTACACCAGGGCAATAAATCAGAAGATCTTAGGTGAATCTGAGAGCTCAATACTTTTTGCAAATCGGGCACATGTAAATCTGCTTCTGGGGAACTTTAGACGTGCACTCATGGATGCTGAAGAGGCGGTCAAGCTATGCCCAGCAAATGTCAAGGTAGTTACTGTGATTCATACATACCAGTTCAGTTACTTACCACTTGAATATTAGTTTGTTTGTTCTGTTGTATCATTCTCTTGCAGTATCCAGTGTTATAATTTTTCTTGGAATTCACCTGGAGCTTGATTTTGGATAGTTTACTTTTATGTGGCCTTTTTTTTGTTAAATGGACATTGTTTTTCATTGCATTGTAAGAATTGATGTACAAGTATATCTGTATATGCGATTCATACTACAAAACGTTGTCTATGTGTATTTGATTCTCAATCCTTAAAAAAATGGGGCTCAACACTTAGAATTCACAGAAATGGGTGTGAGTGCTAAAGCCTCAAGGTCTGTATGCTAAAATGAGTTTTACTTGAGATTTTGGTCAGAGACCCCTTCCCTAGCAACCATATCGACCTCATCATCTGACTCTGTCCCTACATGTTGTAGAGTCACTTGCAACTGACAACTGTAAACCAAATTTCTTGAAAGATGTTATGCAATCTTCACGAGCGGCTATCTTCTTGTTTAGCCCATCTGATTACATTGCTTGAGTCGCCATCCATGGTTATGGTTTTCCAACTTGAATGAAGATTTCTCTGTCCAAACAGCAGCGACCATGCTTTGGCTTATTTGCATCCTATGTGTTAATGGCACTGAGTATTTTATTAATGTTCACCCCCGGTAGCTCCTGAATATACCTCCGATCCCTGCGGGCCTGGATTCCTCTTAGAGCTGCCATATAAATTCAAGTTAATAGCACCTTTTGGTGGTGGGGTCCAACTTTGAAGCCTGCTATTTCTCTTTAGCTTGACTTTGCTATGTTCTGTCACTGATTTTCAATGTCAGCCACTTAATAACTCCAGAATTCCTATATTCATCAGGCCAAGACATGATAATAATTGTGAAATTATCTTGCAGGCTCATTGTGACCTGTGTTCGATCTTTTTTTTTTTGAAATGTTGACAATTGTATTAATATAAGAGAGGAGTTACAAGTTGAGTTAGTCCGAGAGTACCCTCCTAGACGGGACTCTCGGCAAAAAAAAATAGGCCAGCAGGTCCTATATAAAATGGGGTTATAGGTTTTCCCCTTTACAAGTATATAAACATGGGTTAACCCCTTTATAGAGTAAAGAAAAAGTTTACAAGAGAGTACAAAAAATTGCCCGTTCTATGAAAAGTGTTTTCCTTGCAGAATGGTGTGTGGTCCGCCCAATGCAAATAGCAGATGAAGTTCTAGTCTTCCTCATGGGCATTGGCTCCATCCTTGGCTAGCAGATCCGCGAGCGTGTTTGACGTCCTCAAGGTATGCATCCATGAGACGGGCATATCCCTGCAAAGATGTTCAATTTCTTCATACAAAGGCATGAGGTACCAGGGGGGGTTAACTTTCTTGGAGGCCCAAGTGATGATATTTCGGGCATCTCCCTCCACTATAAGATTTTGTCCCCAGGATCGATCGAAGCTTTGCAGTCCTTTGAGAAGAGCCAATGATTCAGCATACTGTGAATCTTGGACTCCTAGGTATTCTGAGTAGGTGAATAGGATATTGTGTTGGTGGTCTCTAATGCACCACCCGCACCTGCATGGTCGGGATTTCCCATGGAGCACCCATCAAAGTTCAGTTTGATTGCTCCTTGAGGGGGTGGTTTCTAGGTATCTGAAATATTCTTCTTCTTTGGTCTGTGTAGAAGAATGTTCTCCCATTGAAATAGGAAGGAATTCATTGGGATTCCTTTGAAGTGGTGATGGTTTGACACCCAAAAGGCTACTAAGGATGTAACCTTTTGAAACAGAGCTGGGACTAGGTTGACTTTTCCCCAAAAGATTCAGGCGTTTCATTCCTTCCAAAGCGTCCATACTGTTGCTGCCACTATTGTCTTCCACAAGATTTTTCCGGCTTTCGGCCATTGTGAGGCATGGTTTGAAGCCAGCAAATCCTTGATCATTGGTGATATTACCCAGTGTACACCAAATAGTTGCAACAGCAGACTCCAAAGTTCGTGTGCAACTTTATAATGAAGGAAGAGGTGGTGGTTGGATTCCTCCTCCCTTAAACACATACAACACCTATTTGGAATAGGGATCCCCCTCTTTTGGTAATTATGGAATTTGAATGTGGGGATTGCCCAAAGTTAACCTTTCTTCAAAAAAGAATGTGGGATTGCCCACAAGTATAGTGACCCCAACACAAAAGATGCAAATTCTTGATGGGCAATATAAGAAGTCACCTTTATTAGAAGAAAAAAAAAAGAAAAAGAAAAAAAAATGGTGGACTTGTCTAGCGAACGAAACTCGAGATATCAAAGCTCGCGTGGCTTACCTGTTAAGGCATGTAACAAGGAGGTAGAAAGCAAATAGGTGAAAAGCTTGACGAAGGGGGATGAGTACTATGCTCAACTGCCAACAGTCTCTAGAAAGGGGGAGAGAGGTGAAGAGAGTTTAGAGAAGGAAAATAAAGAGAGAAGTCTCAGTGAGATGGAAATGTTTTAGGGACTCAGAGAGAATGATGAGGACTTAGAAAGAGAGTTTAAAGAGGGTTCTATTTATAGAGAGAGACAGTGTAAAGAGGGTTCAAAGGAGGACCACAAAAGAGTGTAAAGAGAATGATGAAAAGAGTACGTAAAAAGAAAGAGGTGAGGGGCTTTAAATGAACGAAGTACAAGGATGTAAGAACAAAGTACAAAAGGGTTTTGATGAGGGGATGCTCAATAATTGAAGGGAAAGATAAAGAAGGGAGAGAGTTATATGAAGGATTTTAAGAAGTATAAAGAGAATAATTATTTTTTGGGATTTTTGGTGAGAACTTAAAGAAACACACAGAAAGAGATTTAAAGAGAACAAAAGGGCAATAGAGCGATAAACAAAATCCTTTTTTTTTTTAATCAATAGGGTTACCTGATAAGGCAGGTAACAGGTAGGTAGAAAGCAAATAGGTGAGAAGCTTGATGAAGGGGGATGAGTACTATGTTTAACCGTCAATAGTCTGTCGAGATATCCTTTTAAAGGTTGCGACTTGCTGGCCCTCTTGGTCTGATAATTACTAGAACAGTTAAAAACACTTCACGGTGTTCCTAATCGATATTACGCTCACAGTAAGAGAGAGCTTCAATATCCCTAGTTTCGTTTGAGAACATGGTTAGATGAGTCCCTTGAAAGACAATTAGAGTGTGATGACTTTACCAGGTTTGGTTACCCAATAAATTTGCAAACTGCAAACTCAACTTCACTTGTGATTTATTTCACACAAAGGGGTTACATATTTATGGTGAAACATAGCCCAACTTACCATATAATGGTTTATAAAACCGTGGGCTAAACCGTAGATGAAAAGAAAAACCATACAGTACCTTAATACATCAAGTACATTCGCATGTCACTTAAAGCAAACCCATACTGTACCTTGGTACATTAGGTATTTCCACATGTCATTTATTTTTACATTCAATTAAAAAAATAAATAAATAAAGCAACAAGTACAATGCCATTATCACTCACTCTTCCACACGTTAAAGAGGTAAATAGTAAAACCACTCATAAAAAAACAAATCTACTCTTCATTTAGTAAAACTACTTCAGGAAAACCATGTATGGTTTCTTTGCGAGATATTTTGAGATGAATCTGGAGACTCCTCTGGTAACTCATCTTCAATAATGATGCTGAATTCTTTGTACGGAGTCATACAAAAATGTCCTCCGGCTTGGCAATTCTTGCAATTTTTTAAATTTTGTAGAAGTTGTCTAGTAGCTGCACTGATGTCGGCGGCTTTATGTTGGATGCTTCATGATTATAAAGAATTTCATCTTTATATCTCCGAATAAAACTTTGCTTAGTGGAATTAATTCTTTGTTGTATAAATCCTTTCTCAATCTATATATCCTAATAATTTTGTCTTAAAATCATGGCAATATGATTAAAATATAGCTGCCTTTTGAAAATCAGTCCAAAAAAATGAGTGGCTGACATGGTCCTTAGAAACCTAGAAAGAAAGACAAAAATTTTGTCAAAAGATAAGGCGTTATTTTTCTCCTGAACCAGAAAATACTGATTCAACTACCGAAAATTACCTTAATATTGGCTGCTTTCTCACGTCTGCTGGAAGAATCAATATAACAGTGAACAATTTGAGATGGACTTCCTTGGAATCCGAATTAATTACCTGGATTATTGAAAGGAAGTATTATACGACTTGCTAATTTTCAGAAGATAACTATATCCTAATCATAGTGTTAGAGATTGTAAAACAAAATTATTAAGATGGGAAATGACCTTGTGAGACCCTCCCACACCCATGTGTGTAGGACCCCAAAAGATCACCATTATATTTGGCACAGATCTCTAGAAACGTCAAGTCCCACACCCATGTGATAACTTTTCTAGAGATCTGTGCCAAATTTAATGGTGATCCTTTAGGGTCCTGCACACATGGGTGTGGGAGGGTCTCATAGGATCATTACTCTATTAGGATATACAAATTGGGAAAATGATTTATGCAAATATTTTCAAAGGATTAATTTCATTGAGTAAGGTTTTATTCGGAGATATAAAGATGAAATTCTTTATAATCATGAATTATCTAACATAAAGCTATCGATATCAGTGCAGTTACTAGACAGATTCTACAAAAATTTTAAATATAGCAAGAATTGCCAAGCCGGAGGACATTTTTGTATGACTCTTAACAAAGAATTCAACAACATTATTGAAGATGAGTTACCAAAGGAGTCTCCAAAATCATCTCAAAATATCTCACAAAGAAACCATACATGGTTTTCTTGAAGTAGTTTTACTTTATGAAGAGTAGATTTGCCTTTTATGAGTGGTTTTACTATAGATTTTTTTAATGTGTGGAAGAGTGAGTGACGTGTGTATATAATTATTGCGTTGTACTTATTGCTTTTATTTTTGCTTTGAAGTGAATGTAAAAATAAGTGACATGTGGAAGTACCTGATGTACCAGGGTATTGTATGGGTTTGCTTTAAGTGACATGTGGTATTGTATAATTTTA